TGTGATCCTGCTTGGGATTGCGCTCTGCTGCTGGAAACACTCCTGCAGCTCCTCAGGTGGGTGCAGGGGACCCCAGAGCACCCACCTTGGCCAGGAGCTCTGCACTGGTGTGGGCTGGGTGGGAAGAGAGGCCCCTGGAGCACCCACCTGGTGTGGGCTGGGTGGGAAGAGAGACCCCAGGAGCACCCACTGGTGTGGGCTGGGTGGGAAGAGAGACCCCTGGAGCACCCACTGGTGTGGGCTGGGTGGGAAGAGAGGCCCCGGGAACACCCACTGGTGTGGGCTGGGTGGGAAGAGGGTCCTGCCTGGGGAAAGAGGGATCACAGTGCTCTTTCCCTCTTCCAGGGGATGGGACACCCTCGAGCAGGAAGCCGTTTGAAATGGTGGTGAGTTCCTGGGATGGCAGGGGGGTATGGCTCTGTTTGTGGGCCGGGGTAAGGTCCTCCATTCCCTCTGCTCCCCACTTGGCCAGCAGTTCCTGGGAAGGCTGGAGGAGCAGGGGAGCGAGGCTCATCCAGCTGGGAAGGCTGGAGGAGCAGGGGGGTGAGGCTCATCCAGCAGTTCCTGGGAAGGCTGGAGGAGGAAGGTGAGTTTCATCCAGCTGGGAAAGCTGGAGGAGCATCCAGCCTTCCCAGCTGGATGATATTCATCCCTGTGCTCCTCCAGAAGTTCGATGAGTTTCATCCCCCCTCCATCCAGCAAGGGAATGAGTTTCATCCACCAGTTTTTAGGAAGGCTGGAGGAGCAGGGGGATGAGTCACCAGCAGTTTCTGGGAAGGCTGGAGGAGCAGGGGGATGAGTTTCATCCAGCTAGGAAGGCTGGAGGAGCAGGGGGATGAGTTTCATCCAGCTAGGAAGGCTGGAGGAGCAGGGGGATGAGTTTCATCCAGCTAGGAAGGCCAGAGGAACAGGGGGATGAGTCTCACCCAGCAGTTTCTGGGAGGGCTGGAGGAGCAGGGGGATGAGGCTCATCCCTGCAGGGTTGTGGTAGAGCTGGGCCAAGCAGAGGAGGCTCTCTGGTAGTGCCCTGGGTGCTTCCAGCCCCTCCTCAGTGCCATTAACACTTTCCTGGTGTCAGTGCTAGCACATCCAGGATCCACAGTGGAGATCCCAGGGTAGGGGTGGGCTGTGCTTGCCCAGAGCTCCTCCAAGCTCGGGATCCGTGCCCTTGGATCCATGGCATGTTCCTGCCTTCCCAAACGACCACAGTTTGTGTTTCTCCCTTGCCACAGAGCTCTATGTTTCAGAAGCTGCTGTGGTGCAAGACAGGGAACGTGGGGACAGAGGACAACCAGGCCAACAGGCAGACAGAGATGCGGCAGCGTCACACGGCACCAGAGAGACAGGTACGGGAGTGGCACCCTCTGCCCCGGCGTGCCAGGCCAAGGTCTGATCATCCTGGGGGGCTTCCAGGGCTGGGCTGCTCAGGGAGGTGGCAAAAGGTCTCTTTGTGGGGTCAGGATGGCAACATCTGCTCATGGCAGTCGAGAGAGTCCTCGGAGGATTTAATGCTGATGCTGAGCAAACACAGCTCTGGTCTCCCCATCTCGGGGCCTGCTGCCTTTGCAGAGACAGGAAACATGGATGTCCTGGGGGTGGGTGGTGATCTCCTGCCCCAACAGCCCTGGGACAGAGGGAGAGGGTCTCCAACGCCCATTAATCACACATTGCTGCTGGGGCTTGGTGGGTGCTGTAGGACACTGTCATTCCAGGAGTGACACTGTCATTCCAGGAGTGACATTGTCATTGCAGGAGATGCTGCCGAGTGGGAGTGAGAGACCCTGGAGGAGTCTGGTTCCAGCCCCAGGGTATGACCCCAGTGCAGGTAAGTGCTGGGGCCCAGGGGATGTGCTGGGGCTGGGATTGCTGTCCCAGCTGCCCGTGCTCTGAGCTGTCCCTTTCCCCCTCCAGTGCTGCAGCGCTCCTTTTACACCTTCGCTGGGAAGGTGCCCAAAGAAAACTGGAAGAGATTTGGCCACAACCTGAACCTGGAGGACAATGACATCCCCACGGACAAGTCACACGATAACTTCTACGACATGCTGCGCAGGTGGCAGAACAGGGAGGGGACCAAGGCCTCCGTGAACACGCTGCTGGACACGCTGGACCGGATCAGCCTCGGCGGGGTGGCAGAGAACATCTCCGGCGCGCTGGTTCAGAGTGGGTTTTTTCAGCATGAAACGAGCTGAAGGGAGCAGGGCACACGTTGCAGCTGCTTCCTTCAGGCTACAGCTGTGAAAGAATTCTCAGAACAGCTGGATTGTAGCTGTTTGTAGCTATCCTGTGGCTCCTCTCCCTTTGAGGCCATGTTCAGCTGGGCCAGGAGCTGATCCCCACGTGAAGGACAAGCCTCAGGGCCCTCTCTGCTGGAGTTACAGTTCAATGTTGGTTCTTCCTCGTGGAATCCAAGCTGGTTTCTTGATTTCACTGGGTCAGCACCAAGAGTTTCAAATAATTTCAATCTGCCTTGGACCATCTCTCTTGGAAGCACTGGTACTACCCAGATTTCTTTGGAATCCGTGCAGAGAGGGGCTCCCTGTGCTTTTGAACTGGATCATCCTTGAATGACAGGAGACTCTTGGTGTCATAGAACGGCTTCTGCTTCTAGAACATCTCTAAGTAAGCTTCATTCTGCATGCTTGGTGGTTCTGCAAGCTCAGCTGGTGTCTCGGGTTATTTTTTGTGAGCCAATTGTTTGTTTTTGTTTTTGTTCTGCATGGTTCTGCTTGTTGTTAGGAGCTAATTTAAAACTGCACTTGGAGGGGACAGGGGGAATGATTTGCACTAGGAGCACTGGGGTTGCCTGGGGAAAGGGAAAATGCAGGGGCCACCCAGCCCATCCCCCTGCCAGGAGCAGGGCATCTCCCACTCCCACTGGTTGTTCCAAGCCCCATCCAGCCTGACCTTGAATGTTTGCCAGGATGGGGCAGCTTATCTGGGCAGCCTTTCTGCCAGTGTTTACTCACCCTCATTATGAAGTATTTCTTTGTAGTATCTAATATAATGTGATCTTCATTCGGTTTAAAGCCATTCCCGTGTCCTGGCACTCCAAGCCCTTGTCCAGTCCCTCTCCAGCTCTCCTGGAGCCCCTTTAGGTACTGGAAGGGGCTTGAAGGTGTCCCAGAGCCTTCTCTTCTCCAGGCTGGACAATCCCAGCTCTCCCAGCCTGGCTCCAGAGGGGTTCCAGCCCTCGGAGCAGCTCCGTGGCCTCCTCTGCATTTGCTCCAAGGCTTTCACATCCTTGTGGAGACCCCAGAGCTGCAGGTGGGGTCTCCCCAGAGCTGAGGAGAAGGGAAAAATCCCCCCTGGCCCAGGTTAGCCCCGAGGCTGTGGGGTGGCTGCTGTCCCTGTGTGCCCCAGCGTAGAGGGGTGAATGCACTGAGTGTGAGTGTGACCGTGGTACCTCCTGCCCATCTCAGACCTCAAGCACTGTGCCTCACACAGAGCTCAGGGACAACCTAGCTGTAAAAACAGCTGGGAAAACTCCTGGATTACTTGAGCTGCCACCCCAGTCCAGCCCAGTCCACCAGGACCTTCCCAGTGTGGTGGGAGGGTGCTCAGCACCCTTCCTGCTGCTCCCTTTCTCCCCCACCCTCCAATACAACAAGCAGAAATTTTGTACTTATTTATTTAGCAATTGTAAACATAGCTTTTAAGTTAATATATGCAATATAAAAATATTGGTATTTTGTTATGCATGGTTGTATGTTTTTTACAGAGCTCTGGCCCAGCCAGTGTACTTTTCCAGTTTTTTACATTTCTCTGTTTATGAAGGTTTAACTTTAAAAAAAAAAAAATCCTCCTGATTTTGTGATCTGGTTTGATTTGTTTTCCCCCAAGAACTCTGGTGAGGGCCTGTCTGGGACATCAAGGTCCAGGGTCCCAGTGGACACCAGTCGCTCCACGTGGCACTGAGGACTCAGCCCACGGAATTAATGCTCAGCCACCCCAGCATCCCACCAGGAATGGTCCCCACCAGTCCCCAAGAGTCCTTTGTGCCAGGGAAAGCCCTCAGCAGCCATCCTGGCCTTTAGTGACCCTACACCAGAGTCCCATGCCAGAGCAGGGGGGTGCCACCCGTGCCTGGAGCCGGGGGTGGCACCGGCAGCGCCGCTCGGGGGGCTCCGGCTCCTCCCAGCCAGGGCTCTGTGTGTTGCAGTAGCTGTGTTGCAAATCCATGCAGTGCTTAGTGAGAAGAGGGCTCTGCTCAGCCCCCAAAAACGCCCCTGCAGCTGCTCCCCTGCCCCTGCACTGCCGAGGGGATTTCTAAGAGCGTGGGGCTGGGGTGAAAAGCAGGAGCTGCTGCTGACCTGCCCGGAGGGTTCGTGCCCAGGGGCCTCTCCTGGGCATCCCCCTGTGCCCCCCGAGCATGCAGACCTGGCAGGGGCTCCTGCAGAGCCAGGCACATGCAGGCTTCAGTGCCAGGGCTCGGGTCCTGGCCTGGGGAAGGCAAACAGGACTCAGAAGCAGCGGTGAGTGCCCAGATTGTGCAAGAAGGACAGAAAGTCGTGGTCCTACCTGCTCGCTGGGGCTGCCAAGGGACAGAACACTGAGGGTGAGGAGCCACCTCGCTCCTGCATCCGAGGCTGAGGGTGGCCATGCAGAAGGGGAGGCTCCAAGGGGCTCCACGAGGCCAGCTGGGAAGAGGAGCAGTGTGGGGTGGGAGGGGACACCCCCGGGAGCATCCCCGGGTGCTCCTCCAGCAGCAGCCTCTGCAGGGATGGGCTCCAAGGAGCTTTCCCCATCCCAGCTGGGGAGGGTGAGGAGGTTTGGGTGCCTCCTGCCCTGCCTGGCAGCCCTGCAGGGACACAGGTGGGACAGGCAGAGTTAGTCCTATGGAAAAGCCACCTCGTGCTGTGCCAGGGTTTGGGTCCTGCCAGGCCTCGCTGTCCCTGCCCGTCCCAGGAGCGCTGGAAGGGGGTGATGGCATCACCCCGAGCCTGGCACAAGGATGTGCCTGTCCAGCTGCTCCTCCCACACACACAGGGACCACGCCGGGCTTTTAAAATACCATTTATTACAATGGAGCCTTCCAGGCTAAAATCCCAAGCCAAGGGCTCGGGGTTGGTTTCTGGTGTGGCAGATTGAGGGAGTGGGTTTGGGTTTGGGGTTTTTTTTTGCTTTAAGTTTCTGTCTAAACAAAACTGAAGAGTTAAGAACAGGGAGGAGGGGACTCCAGTCCCCTCCGTGCCCTGAATTAGGACAGACCCCACTTGTAGAGGAAATCCTGCAGTGCCTGGAGGCATTTGGGGACCAGGGTCCCCTGCCCTGCGCCTGACCCTGCTGTCAGTCCAGGGGGGTGGCAGGACCCCCACGGTGGCTCCAGGTGGTGAGATGCCATCAGACACCCAAACCACATCCCAGAGCTTCTGGTTCCAAATCAAAGTGGAAGCTGGATGTGTTTCTTCTTCTTCTTCATCTTCTTCTTCCTCATGCTGATGATGTTCCAAAAAACAAAACCGATTTCCAACAAAAACTCCACATGAAATGAAACCACAACACAGCCCTCGTGCTCCTGTAAACGTGAGTTTCTCCTGCTGCTCGGGCTCTGCCAGTCCTGCCGCGGGGAGAGCAGGGCTGAGCCCTCCCCAGCGACCGCCCGCGGCCACCGCCGTCTGCTGCGGGGCCAGTGCCCTCCACGCCTGGCGCTGGGGCAGGGCATCCCACCCTTCCTCCTCCTCCTCCTCCTCCCCGTCTCCTCCCAGGGACGCTGGAGCCAGGGCAAGGACGGGGCTTTCAAACCACAGCCGAGGAGGAGGAGGAGGAGGAGGAAGAGGAGGCTGTGGCTGCCGACGATGAAGGAGAGGAAGAAGGGGAGGAGGAGGCGTTCCAGAAGAGCCACCGCCTCTTGGGCTGCCGTTTGAGGTGGAGGTAGTCTTCCTTCTCCCGCTCCTTCTTCGCCCGCTGGTAGTGATCCTCCTCCTTCAGGTACCACACCGGCGGCCAGCGGTGCTTCTCGAAGTACTCCTGGTTCTCTGCGGGCACACGGGGGGGTGAGGGCGGTGCCAGGACCGCAGGGACCCGCCTGTCACCTCCCCCCGGCTGCCACTCACCTCCCGACATGGCCTTCATGTCCCGGGGGAACTTGCGGCAGACGTTGTTGTAGTTGGTGCAGATGTGGTGCAGGCACCAGTCGGCGAGCTGGTAGGCGCAGTGGAACTGGGGAAGGATGGGACACCAGCTCAGGGCCACCAGGAACGGGCCAGCACCAGGGGTTCACCTCATTTCTCCATGGACATCCAAGGCCAGGACTGGTTGTCCAGCTCCTGGAGCTGCCAGACCCCTCTATGTGTCACCTGGAGCACTTCCAGCCCTGCCAGATCCCTCTATGTGTCACCTGGAGCACTTCCAGCCCTGCCAGACCCCTCTGTGTGTCACCTGGAGCACCTCCAGCCCTGCCAGACCCCTCTGTGTGTCACCAGGAGCACCTCCAGCCCTGCCAGACCCCTCTGTGTGTCACCTGGAGCACCTCACGCCCTGCCAGACCCCTCTCTGTGTCACTTGGAGCACCTCACGCCCTGCCAGACCCCTCTGTGTGTCACTTGGAGCACCTCACGCCCTGCCAGACCCCTCTTTGTGCCACCTCCTGCTCCGCCAGACCCCTCAGTGTGTCACCTCTTGCTCTACCAGACCCCTCTGTGTGTCCCCTTGAGCACCCCCAGCCCTGCCAGACCCCTCAGCGTGTCACCTGGAGCACCCCCAGCCGTGCCAGCACAGGCTCCTACCTGAGCCAGCTCCAGGAACACGAGCACGTCCCCGTCGATGTCCACCATCATCTGCGCCGCCTCCATCAGGCCAGTGACCGTGTACTGCTCTGCACAGGGGGACACACGGGCTCAGGGGGTGGCTGGCACGGGGTGACAGTCACCCTGCCCTGCTGCAGCCGCCCGGACTCACCTGTGAGAGCCACCAGGTGCGGCAGGCAGAGGCGGTTGGCGAGGATGATGAGCTTCATGTCGTCCAGGTCGGGGCTGGAGCTGAACTGCCCCGTGTACAGGTACTCCAGCACCGCCCGCATGCAGCTCTTGCTGGTGTGAGGAAGTGCCACCTGCCAGACGCAGACATTGTCACCTCCTGGCTGTCCTCACCTGCGCCACCCTCCCAGGAGCTCTCCTCACCTCGTTGGTGGAGCTCTCCACAAAGGGGCCGCCGAACATCGCGGCCATCCAGTCGCAGCTGGAGATGAGCAGGGGCTTGTGGGCACTGATAGCACCGTCATCCAGCACGAAGGTGACATCTGGGGACAAGCACAGGGCTGCTGGGACCGGCCCTGCCACCGGGGGCTCAGCCACAGAACACCTCACCCCGGGGATAGCAGAGGGAAGGGGATAGAGCCTGCCATTTAGGTATTTTTCCCTAAAACATCTCTCATTTTTATCCAGCATTCCCTGCCAGCTCAGAGGAGCTCGGGGAAGAGCCTCAGCAGTGCTCTGCCTATTCCAAGGGCTGTTCCCAGGTCACCCCACAACACATTTACCACATTTGCTAGAAAGCAAATGTCACACTTAAACTTGTGTCCTTGGAGAGCTGGGAAGGAGGCTGAGGATCTCCTGCCTCGCTCTCCACAGCTTCTCCCAGGGGAGTGCAAGGGCCACCACACATCTGTCCCTGACAGGGACAGCCTGACCATATTAGGATCCATCTCCATGAAACAAATCCAGCCAGAGGAAGGCTGGGACATTCACATCCCCCTGGGATGTCACCTCGTGCTGGTGGCTCGTGGTGCTCACTGGAAAGCTGGGGAAATCCTACTAAGGGCACTTGCTCCTCATAAATCAGGATGACCCTGTAAAAACCCAGGCTGGAAGAGAAGGAAGTCGCCTTTGCAGCTCTCCCATAAATAAACAGAGCTGCTGGGCCAGCTGGGGAGCAGGAAACCCTGGGCAAGGGCTTCACACTCACTTTCTCAGGGAAAAGAAAAAGGCGATAAAAATCCCCACACTGCAAAGTGAGACCAAAAACCCTGGGGGAGGCATGGCCACCCCCTCACACACGGAGCAAAGCCAGGAGCTCCAAGCCCCCACCCACCCTGTGAGCCCCCAAAAAGGACCAGGCTGCTGCTCCCGGATCATACCCGAGAAAGTCCCCTTGGCCAGGCATTCCTTCACCCGGTTGGTCCTCCGGACGTGGAAGGCTTTGGTGATCTCCTGGTTCATGAACGCCTCGTTGTTGAGGATGTTGGCCACCATCATGCGCAGGTCAAACACCTCCAGCAGCTCGGCGATGTGAGCGATGTGCATGAGGTCCCGCTCGTTCTCGTCCAGCTCGCCCGTGTACAGGTACTTCAGCACGGCCCGGAAAGGACCCGGCTGGATGGACGCGTCCATCTTCACCACCACCATCAGCTTGGACTTGTAGGTCAGCGGGTCCTCGGCCATCTCCTCCTGGATGCTGGTGAAGGCCCTGCTCCACGAGGAGAGGTTCCGGCCCCGCCGCAGCCCGCGCTCGCCGTTCTCGTAGCGGTTGCCCCGCAGGATGCCGTCACTGGTGGAGGCTCTAAGGCACGGTTTGCGCTGGCCGGGTCCGGCCTCCTCGGCGCTCTCGCAGATGTCGAAGCTGGCGGCCCTCAGGAGGAAATCCCGCCCGTGGTGCCTCTCCTCCTGGTGCAGCATCCGCTCGGCGGCCGCGGTGACGGCCACCCCGAAGCCGTGCCCCGCGGTGCTCTGCTGGTCCTCCTCGCTCAGGTCCATGAGGAACAGGTCGTAAAACTTGGAGGAGGAGGTGGAGAGGTAGATCTTGTGTGCGTAGATTTTGATCTTCTCTTGCAGCACCAGGATGACGTCCGCGCACAGGGGGTCCTCCAGAAGGTGAGCTGGACGCTCCTCGTTGTTGGAAGGGGGGTCTGGGACGATGATGATGGGAGGAGGGGGCTTGGGGGGCAGGAAGGGGGCTTGGAGCAGGGGCCGCTGCACGTTGCGCAGGTGGGACTTCCAGAACTGCAGGTGGCGGCGGGAGATGAGGGCGGCGCGGATGGCATTGTCAAAGACGTCCTTGACGCCGAACTGGGCCACCACGCTCGTCTCGTAATAAGGGATCCCCAACTCCTTGGCGACCTCCCTGCCCTTCTCTGGGGGAAGGATCTCATTAGGTTTAATTGGCCTGAAAGAGACAGGAGATAATTAATGAAGAGAGCTCTTGAGATAAGGAGGGCAGGCAGGGACATCTCCGGGGCCCCACCTGGCCAAGGGTCGCCGTGCCCGGTTGACGGCCTCCAGGTCGGCGTAGCGCAGGTCGAGCTGGCAGCCCACCAGGATGACGGGGGCGCGGGGGCAGAAGTGTTTGATCTCCGGGTACCACATGGTCTTCACATGGTGCAGGGAGTTGGGGTTGGCGATGGAGAAGCACAAAACCACAACGTCGGACCTGCGAGGGGACAAGGGAGGGGTCAAGGTCCGGTTTGGGGACTCCCTCCCTGCCCGGGGTAGCGCTGGGCTCCGCCTCTCCCCACCTGCCGTAGGCAAAGCGCCTGTCCTTGTGGTGGTCACCAAAGGTGTCCCAGAGGCGCAAGGACACGCTGACATCATCTACCACATCCCGGGAGCGCTCCAGCACCTGCAGGAACAAAAACCATCCAGCTCCTCAGTCCCTGAGCCTCACAACCACAACAGCAGGACTGTCCCCACGGTGGGGAGTCAATCACAACCTCACAACCTTCCCACGGGGTGTCCACGAGCCCCCCCAGCATCCTCGGCAGCGCTCACCTCCTGGCAGACGCGGTACTGGTCGATGGCCCACACCGTGGGCACGTGGGTGGCGAGGAGCTGGTACTGGGTCAAGGTGGCGTTGCAGGCACGGGCACAGATGAGCCGGGTCTTGCCCACCGCGTTGTCCCCGACCACGACGCACTTGATGGTTTCTACGTTTGGCCTCTCATAATCCATGTCAGAATCCATTAATTGGGACCTGCGGGGGGGAACGAGGCTCGGCAAACACAGCCAGGACCAGCCACGGGGTGTCTCCAGGGCACCACAGGGGCACAAAGCAGGAGGATGCTGACACTCCCTGGCAGCCCGGGGAAGCTCTGCAGCAGCTGCCCAGCCCTTCCCAGCTCGCTGTGCCCGCCAGTCCCCTTTAAAATTTTATGTTCTGGTGGCAGTGTGGCTGCTGTGCCACGTCAGACACATGGCCTGCGTTGGATTGCGCCCTCCTCCCTCCCGGCTCTCCGGCTCATGCTTGTTCATGTGAGATGAGGCTTTTTTTTCTCCTCTCCCTTCCTCCTCTTTCTTTTCTCCATCTCCAGTGTTTGCAAGAGAAGCTTCCAGAGCTGCCTGACCGAGTGCACATGCGGGCACTGCCCAGCTCTGCTGTCTGGCAGGGGACACTGACCTTCCCCCCTCTTCCCACCCCATTCCCTAGGGGATATGTGCTCCCAGCTAAGAGCAGCAAGAAACTCCTTAGGTTTCCCAGAGGCTCAGAAGCCACAGGGACTGGGAGAGCTCCCAGGAGCAGGCATGACCCCAACACTCCTGAGAGAGATGTTGGTGCTGTGGGTGCTGCAAAGCTGATGAGCAGCACCCAGGTGTGCCCAGGTGTGCCACCCATTCCCTGCTCAAAGCCACAGCCTAAATCAGCCAGAATTAACTCATCACAGCATGAACCTGACGGTTTATGTGGTTTCCACGGGGAAAGTCACTGAGGGGATTGAGGGATAGCAAAAAGGACAAAAAAACCCAGATCCCAATTTCTCTGAACTTTCCAAGGCCACAGATCTCTTCTCCCTTGGGATAGCAAAAAGGACAAAAACCCCCACATCCCAATTTCTCTGAACTTCCCAAGGCCACAGATCTCTTCCCCCTCGTTGCTCCCTCCCAGCAGCGGCCTCCCGGGCTGCTATAATAAACCACCAGCGCAGTGAGCGAAAATACCCGGTAACGATGGCAACCGAGCCCTGCACGTGGGACCACAGCTCCCCAAACCGGCAGCCTGGCAAGGACTTCCCAATGTTAGCACCTCCCTCCGTGCGCAGGCTCCCTGGGCACACCTGGATCCACGGGGCAGGAGCGAGCCACGAGCCCCGTGGGCAGCTGGAGGCAAAGGCAGGTGGCACAAATCCAGGTCACTTCGGGTGCCAGCGCTTCCACACCGGGCTGGTCCCGAGGCAAAACTTCTCTGAGTAGTTGTCGCCGCATTCCACGCCCCCTCCATCCTTTGGGATGCAGGGAATCCATCCCAAAGGGCATTGCAAACCAGGAGCAGCAGCGGGGCAGGTGGGCTCCTTCCCCATTAGCCCCTCAAAATCCATTTCCATCCCCCTCTGCGGCCATCCCCTGTCCCCTGCTCCTCCCAGGGATCAGCTCGGCTCTGTAGGACCGGGAGATCTCCAGGGAGGGGGGTGTCAGTGCTCGGGGAGCTTTGCCGTGGTTATTTTTAGGCCCAGCCGTGCTCCCGAGTCAGCCGAGCTGGTTGGGATGGAGGGGGAAGGCACAGGAATGACAACCGCAGTTGGCACTTGGGATGTTTGTCCCTCGTGGGGAGCTCAGCCCACCCCCAGCCGAGCCAGCTCGCAAAGTCTGGTGCCTCATGGGAATTAAGGGCTAAATCCTTGTGGGATCAGTGCCTGCCGTGAGGAGGGGAAGAGGGGGACAGCAGCAGGGATAAAAAGGGGGTTCTTGATAAAGCAGAACCTCCTGGGGGAGCTCTCGTGGCCCCACGGTGGGGGTTCCACAGCCCCTCACCCACGACACCACCCCAGGAGGGGCTGAACCTTTTCAAGCCCCCTCCTCACCTTCCCCACCATCACTTCTCTCCTGGGAACAGCTCCAAAATCCACTGCAGACTAAAAATAACCCGAGATGCTGAGATATTGGAGTTCCCCTCGAAGGAAAAGCTCTTCCCAGAGGAGCAGGGCTGCTCCAGCCAGCAGCCCCCCAGTCCTGCTCTCCCTGCCTGCTGCAGCCCCCCACCCAAACCATGGGCACCCAATTCACACCCACACTCCCCCCAAGGAGAACCCCAAAACTGCTCCTTCCAGGCTCCCAGCCCGCGGTTGCCAAGGCAACAGCACCATCACCCCGGGAGCCGTCGCTTAGCAACTCCCAGGCTCCAAATCCTCCATCCCGCACCTCGCCAGGGGCGGAGACCCCCCAAACCGGGGCGAAACCGCCCCGAAACGGCAGCAATGCCCAAAAATAACGGGGTGCTTGGGGCAGCCGCGGGGTGCGGGCAGAACGGGGCCCGGGCGGCCCCGGGAAGCAGCCGGGGCTGTGGAGGCCGCGGCGGGAGGCGGTGCGGGAGAAACGGGGCCCCGAGCAGGGCTGCAGCACGGCCGGGGCCGGGGGATGCGGCGGGCACCGGGATCCGGGATCGGGGCATCGCTGAGCACCGGGGAGCACCGGGAGAGGGTGCGCGAGTTTGGGGAGGGAGCGGGGAGCAGCCGGATTGGGGGCGCGGGGAATTGCGAGGGGTCTCGGGGGGAGCTCGGAGCATCCGGGCCGGGGGTGCGGGGCACCGCAGAGGGGTCGGGGAACACCGGGAGAGGGTGCGGGCATCGCAAGGGGGCTCGGGGGTGTTCCGAGCACCCGAACCGGGGCTGTGGGGCACTGCAAAGGGGACAGAAAGCACAGGGTGAGGGTGCGGGGCATGGAGAGCAGCTCGGGGAGGACCCGGGCCAGGCGTGCGGGGCATCACGCGGAGGCTGGGGGTGCTGGCAGCACCCAGATCGGGGGTGCGGGACATCGCAAGGAGACTGGCGAGGACCTAGGCCGGGGCTGTGGGGCACCGCAAGGAGGCTCAGGAGAGCTCGGAGCACCCGATCGGGGCTGCGGGGCATCGCGAGGAGCTCGGGGTGCTCGGAGCACCTGGATCGGGGGTGCGGGGCATGGCGAGGCGGACGGAAAGCACCGGGAGGGGGTGCGGAGCACGGCGAGGGGACTGAAGAGCAGCGGGAGCCGGCGTGGGGCACGGCGAGGGGGCGAGGGGGGGCTGGAGCCACCCGGATCGGGGGTGCGGGGCACGGCGAGGGGACCGGGCCCTCGCTGTCCCCTGTCCGGCAGCCGGGCCGGGCCGGGCGGCGGGGCAGGATGCGCGGAGGCGGAGCGGGGCGCGGGGCGGAAGCGCGGGGGGGGTCCCCCGGTACTTACACCAACACAGACGAAGCGGCGGCTCCCAGGGGCCGGGGCCGGGCTCGCCCCTCCGGACATGGCCACGGCGCAGCCTGCGCGGCTCGGCGGGGCACGGCTGGGCGCCGCGCTGCGCGGCTCAGGGCCGGGGCCGCGGGGGCCCATGGCGGCTCCTCGGCCGCCCCGATCTCCGCATCCGCGGCCCGCTGCGCTGCGCGGAGCCCTGCGCGGATCGCGGCCCTGCGCGCTGCGCCGAGCGGTGCGCGCTGCCCTGCGCGCTGCAGTCGCGGCCGCCCCGCCTTTCATTCACAAAAAACAAGCGGCCCCGGCCGAGCCCCGCCCCGAGCCCCCCCCGCTGCCGCGCATTGGCTCCGAGAGACGAGGGGGGGGCTCCCGGGGGGGGTACGGGCGCATCCTGCCGCGCACGGGGACCCTCAGCATGTCCCTTGCAGGAGGCTCCGTGGTGGCCCCCAGTCCTGCCGTGGTATCTCCATCCTGCCCCTAAATCCTGCCCCTGCTTTGTCATGTCCCCCTAAATCTGCCTTGGGACCCCATAATGTCCTCTCACCCTCCCTGGCAGGAGGCTCCGTCAATTCTGCCTGCGGACCCCCTCGTGTCCCATCGTGTCACGACACGAACCCATCGTGTCCCTAATTCTCCCTTGCAGAGGACCCCTCTGTGCCCCCCAATCCTGCCTTCCATGCCAACCCATCCTGCCCCTAAACCTCCCTCTCTGGGGGCTCTGTTGTGGTCCCAGTTCTGCCTTGGGACCCCCATCCTGGCCCTAAAACCCTCTCATCCTGGTCCCCAATCCTGCACTCCGTGGATCCCTATGCCCCCTCTGCATGAGACCCCCACCCTGCCCCTGCTCCTCCCACCCTGCCCTCCACCCTCTGTGGCATCCCTAGGGGAGGATAACACCCTCATCCCACCTAAATCTCACCTCCATCCTTCCTCTGCATCTGATCCAGCCCCCCCCCTGCCACCCATCCCCTGTGACCCCAGTGCCACCCAGCCCCGTGCCCCCCGATCCTGATCTGGGGAAGGTGTGCACCCTCTCCTGCATCCCTCTGAGACCCTTCCCTCCCCGCAAATTTCGGGAGGTGCCAGCTCCCAGCTGGGCCATGTGTGGTGCTGCTGGTGGAGGAGACCCCTCACAAGCCCCACAGCCCCCCGGAGCGCCCCCAAACCCTCGCAGGGCTTCTCGCGGGGCGGGGGAGTGGGGGGCAAAGCTGCTCCATCCCTCCGTGCCCTCCAGGCCACACTCTGCAGTCCTGCCTTTCTACCCTTCTCTACAGGGCTTATTGCATTGCAGCCCTGTCCTCACCCCCAGGGCAGCTCCCCGAAATCTGAACCCTCAGGACACAAAAAAAAACTCCGAGTCATCTTTGCAGCGCGGCTGCCGGGAAGGCGGCGGGCACGGCCGGCTGCTCTGACCCCGAATATCCGCATCATGTGATCCTCGCCATCCCTTCCCGAGGCGTTCAGCCGCCTTCCCTGCCCATCCCCGCCGCGGAGCCGCGCTAGGCTCGGCCCCCTGCACGGCCTGAGCCCGTCCCGCTCGGGTCAGGCCCGTGCCAGGCTGACACCGATGCGAAGCGCAGCGCTCGCCTCGCCCGGCGCAGCCCCCCCAGCCCGGCCGCCGGCCCCCGCCTCACCGGACTCGCAGCACGGGGATCTGTCTCTCCATAGCAGAAGGAGATGGAGCCGCTAATTTGGGGAGGGGAAAGCTCTTTTGGGTTTTGAGCCGGCCAGAGGCAGCTCCCGGCGCTGCCGCGGCGCCCGCGCCGGGACCGGGAGGCGGCGGCGGAGCTGCGGAATCGCTGCCCCGGGAGCTGCGGAATCGCTGCCCCGGGAGCTGCGGAATCGCTGCCCCGGGAGCTGCGGAATCGCTGCCCCGGGAGCTGCGAGCAGCCGAGCCGCAGAGCCTGGAGCTTGCTGCTGCTTGGAGTGGGTCACGGGGAAGGAACACGTAAAGCTTGTTTGCCAGCCGCATGATTTGGCTTATTTGCTCTCTTGTAGCAGGTGCTTAATTGTGGCAGAAAGGGTTCCCGGCAGCTTTCTGGGCAGCCAAATTCCCGCCTGCCCCTCTCGCAGCCAGGCAAAACAAAAGCACGATTGTCACCCGCAGGCGGAACGCTGCGGCTGCGGAGCTCGCACGGGCCTTCTTCCCGGGAGGAAAGGTTTCCCGGGAGGAGAGAGCCCGCGGATGGAGGCACCGAGGTGGGCACGGGCCGGGGGAAAGGGGTCGGGAGCAGCTGTGGAGCAGTGGGTGCTGCCCGCAGCCCCTCTCCTCCGAGGGAGGAGGAGCACAGGTCTCAGCTGACTGTTCCCCACGCTGTGACACGGCTTGGCATGGCATGGAACGGCACAGCATGGCACAGCTGCCCGGTGCCATCCCCCTCCCTCAGCACTGCGATCTCTGGCAGGGCTGTGATTAAGAGGCCTTTTGCTTCCCCATCCCATCTCTCCAATTTAAGCCTCTTGAACCTGTCCCCAGGGAATTCCATCTGTCCAGCTCCGTGACCCCAACTCCACAGGCAAGGCTGACCTCCAGGGGTCACACCAACCCCCTTTTCACCCCACAGCATCCTCCTCTCTCCATCTCCCACTCCCCAGCCAGGAATGAAGAAGCCCTCAGGATATTCAAGATATGAGCGGGCATTGCTCCAGCCCCAGTAAAATTTATGACTCTCCAGTTTAAAGCCATGGCATTTCCACCCCTCCCAGGTGCTGCCAGGACCCCGCCCAGCTTCGCTGGGGTCAGGATGCAGCAATCCAAACCCAAATCCATTTTCCTTATGCTCCTTGGATACCCTGCAACTGCTACAGCTTTCCTGGCTCTGCCCCCCACCCTGCCCCCAAATCCAGCATCATCCACCTTGCAAGGGGCTGAAAGGTGGCACAGACCAAGGCAGTGCATTCCTCACTGGACAAAATGGATTTAGGACATGGGGACACCCCAAAAACCCCGGACCACACATTCCCAAAGCCCCCAGCACCAGGACCCTGCCTTTGCCTTTTCTCTGCTGTTTTCCACCTCATCCACGGGAATGGAGGCGTTGCTGTGGCGTGGCTGGGATGGGAGCAAAGAGCAAAGTCCCTGGAGAAAGTGACCGGAGGAAAAGTGCCAGGAGCAGGGGTGGGAGGAGGCAGCAGGAGATACTTACAGGCTGTGAGCCATGGCTGTCATCTTCCCGGCAGGGCTGCCCTTCCCTGGCCTTTCCATCGCTTTCTCTTGGCAGGCTCTGCAAGGCGAGGGCACAGGGATCTGTGAGACCCCCCCAAACACGGGCTCACATCCCAAAGCCACCCCTTCCCCACTCAGTGTCACCTCCCCACCCTGGAGACAGAAGGGTTTTGGGAAGGTGAGTCCTGGGCTGGCCAAGCAGCGTCCTGGTGTGAGGACAGAGCTGTCCCTTGTGTCCCCATTGTCCCCATGTCTCACCGCCAGCTCTGCCCTCCTCATGCCACCCTACAAATCAGCCAAAACATGGGACACGCACAGACCTGTCCCCTGCTCCGAAGGTTCCACAGTGACAACCTCCCCACAGCCCCAGCGGGGCTCTCCCAGCTCCCACCCCCTCTCCAAGCACCTCACCCTTGGGCTAAGAGTCTTCCCTCTGGATCTGAGCTCCCCGGGCAGTGCCTGCCTCCTGGGGTGGCCAGCGGGCCACCGAGTCCCCTGGCATGGTGGCTTTGGCCAAGGCTCCGGAGCGAGGCAGGGCAAGGGGCTGTCCCTCCTTCCCCGTCACTGCATCCTGCACACGTCAGGAGCAGAGTCCAGCCTGGGATTTGCTGCTGGCAAAGCCAGCAGAGTGCTGGCTCCTGGCAGGGAGTGGGTTCCAGGCACCCACCACAGTGCTGGATCCATCCATGGATTCACCAGCAGGAGCAGCAAGGGTCACCTCTCCATTTTGCTTCTCTAAAATCCCAAATGCTGCAGTTTTGCTTCCTGGAGGAGGCTGCAAGGGGTTTCCTTGCTCAGGACAGCTGCTCCAAGCACACCATGGGCCCCCCAAGCCCATCAGCAGCCAGGGAGGGAGGTGGCAGCTCCAAAAAAAAATGGCATTTACAGGCTCAGTATCCAACTGGAGCCGGGAGGAATCTTCAACCAGAAGTTTGCAAAAATGGCAGAATCCAATTCTGATGGGGGAACAGTGGGGACAAAAGGACACACTGGGATGTGCCACCACACTGGTGGGAAACAGCTGATACCAGAAGGGAAGGTGTAAAACAAGCAAAAAAAAGAACATTTTTGCACCTTTCATCCCCTGCCCTGCCAATGCAGCA